CCATTCGCATCCCTCTTTTTGTCAGTTCCCTTCTCCCATCCTCACGGAGAAGGAACCATCCCTGACAACCCAGTTAGGGACGAGGGATGGGTTAACCCAGCGCCAGCCGAGAAAGTGCTGTACACAGTCGACTTTGCCCGGGGCGCCTGGGAACCCCAGGATCCCTCCAGGGGTGCGTGAGCATTCATGTGTGCCCCCGGAGCAGAGGGAGAGAATCCAGTGATATTTCACACAAATGAGAAATGTTATTCTGCAGATTAAAGCCTCGCCAAGCCTGGTTTTGTCTTTATTTATGCTTTTCCATTTCCCTGTGCGCTGACAGGGGTGCCCACGCCGGGGAGCGCTGAAGGACGTAATTGGCGTGGTGAAGGATTGTTGAGCCGCCAGGACGCTACCCAGGGCTACCCCCCTTCTCTCTCCCATCTGTCACCATCTAATGTGACAAAGTTTTTATCGGGCATCGAGGCACGGGAGATTAAAAGTAAATACTACAATCAGGAGGCAGCTGGGGAGAAAATGCAGCGCATTTCACAGTAAGCTGCACAGCTCATCACGGTAGCCTTGTGGCACCGCGAGCCGGGAGCCGAGGTGACCCGGGATGGAGTGGGACGGGTGGGGGAACCAACAGGGAGACGCAGGCCCAAGCAGCTGAACTTCCGCTCTTTGGTGAGTGACGCTGAAATGACAGCAGCTGCCATATATCAGAGTGATGAAATAAAGTTGGAACAGGCTCCTCCTTTATTCGATGAAGAGCCTGAAGGCCAGAGAGGAAGAGCATGTGCAGGGGCACTCTGTTTGCTGGTGGCCTTAGGATGTCCTCTCTCCTCCCATCCCTTCCTGCTCTCTTCCATTAACAGATATCGGGGTTTGCAAGGTAAATTGCCACAGGAGAAATTGTTTTGTTATATTTTCATATACTGCGGGAAGTCACAAGCTTCTCCCACTAATTAATTAGTTAGATCATAATGTTCATTCACTTAGCATTCAAACTCTAGGTTCTTTTTTTGATTCAGTTTGGTATCTCAAATACCTAGAACGTTGCCTAGTCTGTAGTAAGTCCTCAATAAATATTTGTCCACTGCCTGATTAAGTGAATAAACGTTGGTTCGTACCTCCTATGTTGTTGCTACTAAACTGCAATCCCTGAATCCAGCAGCAGCAGCAGCACCCTGGAGTTTGTAAGTAATGCACAATCCCAGGGCCACCACTACCTGGTGAATCAGAGTCGGCCTTTGAACAGCCTCTGCAGGTGACACACGCAATGCTGAAGTCTGAGTATGTTGTTGTATATACAAGGCTGCTTGCCGGGATGGCCCAGCCTCTCCTGCTTCATCACTCTGGGCCAAGGAGGATGAACTTCCTTCTGTGATGGTGCTTTGTGCCATGCACATTAAGTCCCACTGTCAAATTACCACCCCTAGAGAGTCTTCCATTGTGGACTGAACCAGCCACGCAGGGGCACCTGCCAGCCCCTCCCTCTGGGCCTCCCTCCCTCTTTCCTTTTGCCCCCTTCCCCTGCCCTGCAGATCCCAGCCTTGTAGCCTTGACTGATAACGGGGGCCTTGAAATCTCCAGACTGGGCTCTTGTCCCTAACCGCAGTGCTCTCTTGCATGCTTTGGTCCCTTCTCATGGTAGGACTGTTCTCTGGGTGACCTTGGGCTAATTGGTTCTTCCCTGTTTCTGTTCTGTCATCCTCAAGAACAGCCACACAACTTCCTGAGCTAGGAGGAGCTGCAGACTTGGTTCCTCTCTCTGCTGGAAGCAGGGCCTCCTTCAGAGCTTTAGCCCAGTGAGTCCTGGGACCCCGCAGTGCATAACTGAGGCAGGGCTGCCCTTCAGGATCCCTTGACTGGGGAGCAACTGAGACAGAGGCAGTGAAGCACCCCCCCACACACACCCCTGCAGCTTCCTTGAGCTGTGAGAACTTGATGCACAATGGAACCTCCATATTTTTGTGTCTTGCTGCCTATCCGGGAGGAATTAGCCTGCTCCAGACAACTTGTTGCATGTGAGTGTGGCTTGTCTCCCACACTCCGCCACTGCTCACATTGCAGCCCAGGAGCTGGTGGGGGTGGGCATGTTAGGCTCCTTCCTATTTCTGGTGGCTGGCATGGTGGGGACTTTCGTTGTCTTCCATGGGTCTAGTTGTTCATCAGCGTGCTTCACATTTGCTTCGAGCCAAATAAGCCTTTCCTTATTATGACCCATTGAAAAATAGTCACTGTCCTTTATTTTCATTTTATAGCTAGAAAAATTAAGGCCCCAGAAGACCCCAGACAGGGTGATGATAGCAAAAGCCTGAGAAATATTTGGCTCTTGATAAGAAGACTCAGCACTGGAGCAAGTAAGGCTCATATACAAGAATAATGTCCTGTTGCTGGGCCTGTGACTGTGGCTGCCTTCCTCCTTCAGACTCCGGGACCCCACTGCCTCTGGCCAAGTGGGCATGGCCGGGGGGCTAACCCCATGTTCTAGCTTCTAGCATCCCCAGTGTCTAGCTGCCAGCCTGGACGGAGTTCCAGCCCCACACAATCCCCGATTTAGTCATAAAACATCATCAGCTCCCCCGTTGCACCCATGATCACATTACCACACATAATTTCATCAGGTAACATAACTCAAATGTATTTTTCTCATTTTAATATTTCTAAAATCAGAGTGCAACTTACAGCAGATAAGTACATTTGATAGATTGCTTTTATTAAAACATTTTATTGAATTGATGATCAGTGTTACAATCAATGGCACCCTGGAATTAAGGAAATACAGTTTTAGGGCTCTAATAGAATGGGACACAGCACTGATATGCTTTGATAGATGATAAGGGGCTTGAGAAATGCACGAATGAAGATAAATTAATAATCACCGGGACGATCATAATAAATACTACTTAGAGAGTGCTTATTTTATGTCAGTTATATATTTTCTCTAATTCTTTTTCTGTTTGTTTTTCTTTCTTATCCTTTTTCATTTCTCTAATTCTTGAATAAGCTCACAAAGATAAGAATGTGACTTTAATCATTTTAAACATATGTAATATTATGGCGTCCATCCTATGGTAGCTTTAAGAGTTTTATTGAGATGTAATTCACACACTCTTAAATTTACCCATTTAAATCCACAATTTAGTGGATTTTTGTATATTCAGAGTCATGCCCAGAGTCCTTTAAATCTGAATTTTTTGAGGATCGATATTGTCTCGTTTATCTGCCATCCTTTACAAAGTGGATTATCATCTGTGCATTCTATAATTTTAGATTGTGGGTTCATCTTCGGGGAGGCTTTGCATGCAAGAATCCTGCATCAGTTGAGCCGAAAATGTGTCCAGAGGGACGATGGCACTTGTCATTGGTTAAAATTGGCCCCAGAGTCCTTGTTGTTTTGTTGTTAATTCATTAGTTTAGAGCTCCAAAACCATGGGAGCAGAATGAACATGAATTCCAAACTCGGGGAAGAGAAAAGTTATGGTTGCTAATTCTCAGAGAAGACATTTTTCTCTCCACAGAGATCCTACAGTTTGATCAAGATTTTTCAACACTGGAGTTGCTGACATATCGAGTGAGGTATTCTTAGGTATGAGGCACTGACTTGTGTGTGCAGGGTGTTTAATAAACAGCATCCTCTTGGCCTCACCCACTAGATCCCAGCAGCACCTTTCCCTCCAGTCCTCGCAACCAAAAATTTCTCCAGACATTACCAATAGCCCCTTGATGGGCAACATGGCCCCTTGTTGAGAACCACTAGTCTAGACAAATTAGAGTACTCAACAGAGGAAGAAAACAGAAAAGGAAATAAATCCTAAAAGCTTCCTTCCCATCACCCTGTCCTAGCCAGAGGGTTTTTCTTTTTGTTCCAATTTTACTAAAATGGTAGCTTGGGGGGGTATTTAGAAGGTTTCAATTCCAATGGCACATTTCCCGTGGATCCCAGGCTTATTTGGGGTGCTTAAGCAGGGACCAAGGTGGGATAGGGACTCTGGGAATCATCCATACGCTAAGTGGTCCAATTTCTATTTTTCTCTTTTTTCCTCCTTCAGTTTTGGCTCCTATGAGTTTCTCTGTCTTATAAGCACATTTATCCATTTATTTATAAGCACATTTATTTAAAAGATTGTGTGATGATTACATTCACTATTTCCAGGTGTTTCATTACAAGAGAGTTTAGGTCACCACATCCACAATATTGCCAGAATTGTTGATCCCCAAGTCGATATCATCTCCGCCTAGATATAAAGAAAGTGCAACCAAAAGAGGTTAAATAATTCACCAAAAGCTGCACAGATGTTGGTGGCAAAGCTGGGATAGGACCCCAGGTCTGTCTAGTTTAAAGGTAAGAGCTGGACAGAGCCTAATTATTCAGAAATTACAAGATGTATTTGTTTCCTGTTGCTACTGTAACAAATTGCCACAAATGTAACAGAAATCACACAGTTCTGAAGGTCCAAAACCTACAGTGGGCCAGCAGGGCATCCTTCCTTCTGAAGGCGCTAAGGGAGAACCCATTGTGCTGGCTTTTCCAGACCCTAGAAACCACCTGCTGGCATCATGTTAAGACTTTCTCCTCGAGTACCTTCAGTCTCTTGCTTCCGTTGCCCCGCCTCCTTGCCCCGCCTCCTTCTCCAACGCTGATCTTCTGCCTCCCTCTCCCGAGGGCCTTGAGATTGCATTGAGCCTACTAGAATAATACAGAATAACCTTCTTGTTGCAAGAACTTCAGTTGAATCACATCTGTGAAATTCCTTTGCCATCCTGAATAGCATATTCACAGGTTCCAGGGATTAAGAGAAGACCATCTGTAGGAAAGTCATCGTTCAGCCCGTCACAGAAGGGGTCTTACCAATAGACAGCCCCCAATTTATAATGGCTTTTCTTGCAATTTAAGCCTTTGAGGCCGTGTGAAAGTGGTATGCATCTGGTAGAAACCATACTTGAACTTTGATCCTTCTGCAGGCCAGTGACACATGTGTGCTACGACACGCCCAACGCTGGACAGCAGTGAGCCGGGTTCCCAGCGAGCCACTTTATCACAAGAGGGAATAACTGATGTGCTACAGGGTCCTGTGGTGCTACGCTAGGAGGTGAGTGAATTAAATGCATTTTTGACTTATAATATTTTAAATTTACAATGGGTTTATCAGAGGATAGACCCGTTGAAAGTTGAGGAAAACCTGTAATGTTTTCAGCTTTAACATTATAGGAGAAAAGAAAAGAAACAGAAGTCCGAAGAGATCTCCCGGCATGTAGCCTCACGTGCTTTCAGTCACACCTGCTCTCTCACTTGCTTGAGTGCTGCAGGTAGAATAGGAAACAAGTAACAACGAGGAGCTGTCATGAAAGAGGTGGGATGAGACTGGTGCATCAAAAAAGAGGAAGGGTGAGGCTTGGTGGCCCTGATAGCTGCTAAGGGGATGGCTGGGTTCGATCAGGAATTCTACTTAAATCAGGGATGGAAGAGATGATGGTGCTGTTCAATTTACAAACATTTATCGAGTGCTTGTTGTGTACCAGTGTGCTGAGCCCAACCACCGGAAGAATAAGATCCACCACCTACCTAGAGAGGGAGTTGTGGAAGGAGGGTGTTATATGACAGGAAAGAGGCAAGAGCTATAGAAAAGGGACAAGTCTGCATTTGGGTCCAATTCTACTCACTGGTTAAGTGACCCAGGAAAATTAATCTGTCTGCAAGTTTTTTTCATTCATAAGATAATAATAGCCATTAATTCTCTACATTAAAGGAAGCATCGAAAATATGCTTTAATATTTCTGTGCCTGAAGTCAGCAACAAATTGTGTGACTTCAAAAGTGACAAGCTTCCTGAGTTTCATTTGCTTACATTTATAACAGGGATAATTTTGACCAGGTAAACTTTAAAAGAAAGCCTGCTGAGCTCTGTGATGCTCAGGTCTGGTAACTTTGGCAAGAGTCCTTGAGGAGGTGGCAAGAAGCAGAGGCAGCTGAGCCTTGGGGACTCAGCCCAGCCCTGCTTTTCTGCCTCAAAGAAGCTGTGGAGGATCTCACACATGCAACCCAATTGTTCCTCTGTGCCCTAGTTGGAAAGTTCTGCTTTGAAGGTTGAGGATAAAGTCGTGTGATCTAAGGCCATGTTTGTTGACTGTAGCACTACTGAAATTTTGCCAGAGATAACTCTTTTGTTATCCTGCACTTTGTACCATGCTTAGCAGCATTTCTGGTCTCTACACACTAGATGCCATTAGCAACCCCCACTGTGACAATGAAAAATGTTTCTAGACATTGCCAGATGTTCCCAGATGACTATCTAGATAAGACCTATGGGAAGGCACTCTGTAAACCTAAAGGTGGAAGATATAATTCTTTTAATGAATATTGTTGAATGCTAAAATATCCTACCTTTGACGCAGTGTATGTCCATTCTAGCTGGAACCCCATGGAGAGACACTGAGCTCAAAGATGAACAGTAAGGATTTGGAGGAGGTCCAAACAAGCAGGGAGGCAAGTGCTTTTGAACACTGTGCTTTGTAAGCAGGGCCCGCTTGTCTCTTCACAAGTCCAAGAGCTGTTGACTGGGCTAGACAAGAAACTCAGGTTCTGGCTGTTTAGTGACCTTAATAGATGTCCTCTGAGGTCTCCCAATACATCCTTTGGCTCTGATTGTCATTATGTCTGTGAATGGGGAGGGAGATCCTCCAGCAGGAGCTGAGATCCACTTACCTGTGGCAGTTGGAAACCGCTGAGCCATGTAGGTGGGTCCACTCGGGTAAAGAGCCACCAAAGCTAATGAAAAAGTAGCCATGGCCCCAATCACTGTGAGCAGAAAATGACCTTTGCAGGCTTTTTGATAAAAAGAGATGTCACACAGAATCACAAGAGGCTGCAGTTGTCCCTTTCTAAGGAGTAAAGAATAATCTGAATGAATGAGTACACAAAGAAATCCCTCCATTGTTTTCTTCCTCCACCTAGGGCTCGTGGGGAAGAGAGCAGGACAGGGGAGAAGGGAGACATGGCCCAGAGACCTGCACGTCTCCTGTTACTGAAGGAGAGTCCTGTAGTAACTGATCACTGCAGGGTAGGGCAGTGGACTTGGGTGGCCTAGACGACCCATGAGGAAGGTGACACAGGGCTTTAGGTGGACCTGTGTGACAAGGTGAAGAAGTTGAGTTTCTGAGAGAACAAGGTGGGAAGACAGTGTGGAGAAAAGGACATCAGAGCATCTTAGAATTGTGAGTGTTATATGCAGCTGAATGAAACGCCTCCAAATTCATACAAACGCCTGTGTCTGTGATGGTGGTTGCCCGTGGTAGATGTTAAGGGAATGAAGTTGAATGGAATAAAGGCCAGCCCAGCGTACTGGCCTCTAAGATTGCTGTGGCAGAGTGCCATGCATTGGGTAAGTTGAAACTACAAACATTCGATCTGTCACAGCTCTGGAGCTCAAGTCCAAAGTCGAGGTTCTGGCAAACCTTGCTCTTCCCAGGCTCTAGAGAATGGTCCTTCCTTGACTCTTGGCACTTCTGATGGCCCTGAGCCATCTGCTGTCCTGACTTCTGAACTTGAGCTTCCTGTGGGCAGGGATTGGTCTTGTACACCTGAGACAGGCTTCTTCTTATGTGGAGGAACTGGGTCTGTCTTGTGTACCACTGAGAAGATGCCGCAGGTGCGGCCCACAACTCTCTCTGCTCTCCATTCCCTCTCCTACTGCACCCCTTCCTCATGCTGCTCTTCCAGGATTCCCTGAAGAACCATTTGTTCTGACCGAGGCTTGCTTGGTGGGGGAGCATGCTTGGCCTCCACAAGGGTTAGGATACAGTACCTAGATCTAAGGCCTGGGAGCAGCCCTCAACTAATGTTTAGCCACCGGTATTCCAGCTCCTCTACCCAGAGGCAGGGCCAGGGAACATGGCGACTAGTTCTGTACACTCAGAGTCCCTGGTGTCATGGGCCTTAGGTGCCCACAGCGGTGAACTGCCCCTTCTCCGTGTTGCCTGCCTTCCCTTCCTGTTTCATCTGCCCTCTCTCCTCCCAGGTCCATGTCCCACTAAACGACCTCCCTCACATCCAAGTGATGCAGGCTGTGCCTCTGCGAACCTAGCCTAAGACACCACAGAGAGCAGAGGATGGTCCCGGGCTTGCAGCTAAACTAAGATGTCTCGAACCAGCTAACGGGTGCCCTCATCTGTGCATCTCACATGGAGATGGAGGCCAGTGAACTTGGGGTGAAATGAAAGCAGTGACCACTTACCCATCCCCGACCACTGCGGGGGGCACACACATCCAGGGGCTGCTGTGGGCACCAGCCAGTCCTTCCCTGGCCAAAGGAAGCCACCTGAGTCCACCTAGGTCTCCATGGCCTACAGGAACACCACTGGGTCCATGTGCAGCAGCTTGAGGCCAAGGGAACTCTCCGATTCTTCCAGTAGCCAGATGATCCACCCCCAGTGTCCCATGTTTACAGGAGCCCCATCTCCTTTCAGAGGATCCCAAAATATGGCTGCCCTGGCAGCATGGTCTCCTAGTCATCTCTGTGCCAGCAAACTTGGGCAAATCACCTTGAGCATGTGGGTGTTTGTGTGCCTGAGCATTTGTGTGTGTGTGTGTGTGTGTGTGTACGTGTTTGCATGCGCGCATGCACACATCCCAGTGTCTGTGTGTGAGGTGTATTTGTGTATGTGCAGTGGCTGCCTGTCATTGTGCTGCTAATGGAAATACTGCCACGGATCGCAACTCTCAATTAGCTCCTGGGGCGATTGCTGTGACAGCCAGTTACTGAACAGCAAGGCCTAAAGGAATGAATTAATTTGTAATACACGGCAGTTAGAGTCACTGTGTTAGCAACGGGGGCTCAGCAGCCAGAGACCTTGATTAGAGGAGCTCAGGGCTATTTGGCACCAGCAGGTACCTCGGAGGCCTCTCCCGCATGGCCTTGACCTGGGAAGGGGATCAGAGGAACAGCAACGACCTTATCCGAGCCAGGACCACGCAGTCCAGGGGGGTGCCCTCTGGGGGTGCTGGCTGACACACAGTAAGACCAAAGACCCAGGGTCCCGGGAGCTTGGAGAGAGCAATGAGACCCCTTCATGCCCCCCATATAGCTAAGTATCCAGAGAGGTTTTGCCTGCCTGGGTAGTGATGCAGTGTTGTAGGTAGAAGATATTGTGAAAAGGAGATTTACCCATGTTCCAGCTATGAAAGGAGAAGGCCCAGAAGTGATGGAGGGAAAGGGCTCTTAGAAATAATGCACTCAGGTGGGGAACCTGAGTCCTGGGGACCCTAAGCCAGGGAGATCTTGGCCAGGAGCTGGTATGGAATATGGTCCTGGAACTCTGTACCCTGAAGCCCTAATGCATCTGTCTTCGAAAAGGAAATTTTAAAGGAAAGGCTGTTGGCTCAGCCTGGCCCAAGGGAGAAAGAAAGGAGTTTCCAGTTCCCCCATCTCCACCTCTGGCTGTGAGATGGAAAAAGTCCAGTGTCTTAAGTTCTTTTTGTCCTTGCTGGTCTGTAGTCTTTTTCTTGCTGTTTCCTGACCTTCATGTGATTTCTGACATGAGCAAGCCAGTTATTTTGCAGATGTTGGGTTAACCTGCTGGCTTTTCACGATCAGATTCAGTTTATGTATTTAGACAGGAATTTCACAGAAGTGAAGCTGTGTTGTCAGTGCCTTGTTGGGAGGCTCAGGATGTTGCATTGGAGCCGATAATTTAAACACTGGTAGAGTGATGTCTGCCAGGTTTAAAGTTACTATGTTTCCCTTTGTGAGAAATAAATCACTCGTGGGAAGATACTCCGAGGCTATGAAAGTATCCTGCTTCTCATCAAGCCTTCTTTCACCCACTAGTTCTCTCATCCTTTGATGATTTTCTACTCCATCATTCCTTCTATATTTATTACTTGGCATTCTACTGAAGGAAGAACTATCCCTTCTCCCTCAATTACTTATTAATTTACATCAGTATGGAATTAAGGATGCTTGTTCTATTCAGGGAGTTATAATTCATTACTATTATTATTCATTTTGATGCTCAAATTGTCCCACATTTGGCCAGAGGGATTCCTTCAGCTGATTCCTGTGTCCCCATTATTCTTTGAGCACACCTTACTGTCTGGCAGACCAGATGTTTTAGCCTCCTCGTGTACTCTCCTTGTCCCAGACCAGGAAAGAGCTTTTTCTCTGAGGACACTTCTGGGGCCGATTTAATTTGGTTTTTCTGGAGTGCTGTGGAGGGCCTCCAAAGGACACCTGCCAGGCGTGTTCTCAGCATCATGTGGTCTGGTTGGCATGTGTTTCATTAAGTCCTCCTCTCTGAGTAGTTTTGATTTTGTAGTTTATAGTAGTAATAAGCCTATTTATCATCCCTATTATTTTCATTTTCATCCTCTTGTATTTACTTTTTTCATTTGAGATTCAGGACACATACAGTTGAATGAAATGAAAACCACAGACCATCCTGCTATGGGAGCAGACCCCAACCGATTAGCAAAGGCCTTCTCCAGAGAACCAGATGAAGACACAGCCTAGATTCATGATCAGCAAACTACAACCCTCTCCCATTTTGGTAAGCAAACTTTTATGGGGCCTCATCACACATTTGTTGGTATGTTTATTCTCGATGGCCACTTTGGCCCACGATGGCAAGATTGAGTAGTAATAGAGAATACAGGGCCCCAAAAGCCTAAGTATTTACTGTCTGGATTTTCACAGAAAAAGTTTAGTCTAGAGATGATGCTGAGAAGCCAAATCTATAAGAGGAGCTAAATGTTACTCAAATAAACAAGAAACCTGGTGCCTGTTGATTCAGGCTCACATACACAACTATTAGAAAGTTTTTGTTCCCTGTATCAGGATTCATGTACGAAGCCAACATATAAAGCAGAAGTCATAGTCTCTTGAAAGTTGCTGTGTGGAGACCGATGTGCCATTTCTCACCGAGTCCAGGATAGCCAGTTTTACCAGCATCTGAGAATCTGTGCTGAACATTTCTACAAAGTCCACATGCAAGGTGCATAGAGCTGCTGTCGGCAGCAGTGCCAACCCAGAGACCAGCAGGCTCAGATCTGCTGTGCAATCAACTGCAATCTGGAAACCAAATCACATAGGGGCTAGCAATGTTTACAGACAATAAATGACTAAAAACTCTAGAATAACATTCTCAAGAAGCTCTCTCATTTGGAAAATTGCAAAAGAAAACTGATGTGAAAAATGTTTTGCCAACATGAAAGTGAGGGAAACATTCATGTGCACACACATACAAACTTTTAAACATAGCTTGAAATATCTATACCCTTATAAATTACCTCAGTTATTAGTGAATGCAGCAAATGACTGCATCCAATTATGTGTGGTTCAAAAGTGATTCCTAAAATATTTGAAATGCTACGTTTGATCACTGTGGTGGTGACAAGACACCATTCCCTCCCCGCTGGACTGGACAAACATAAGCTGGTGATGACCCAAACAGTGGGGAACTGAGAACACCCCACCCTTGCCATGGGAGGGGAGTTGACAGAAGACCTTGGAAGGACCATTTGGAAGGGAGTAGTAAACATACAATGTGCACATCCAATCCTGGGGCAATTCTAGAACAGCCATCCTCAGAGTGCCCTCTCCCCATTCCTGGGCTACTTCCAAAAAAGGACTTCAAGGTCAAAACCATTTCGGGTCACTACTGTGCTATTTGCCATTTGTAAGAGCATATGCTCCGACGGTGTCAGAGTAACGGTGAAGAATCAAGACAGTGGCCTTAAATTGCGTTCCTTGCTACTCTGTCCTTCACTGCTGTGCGTTTCACGAGGGAAAGTGCAGTCTTACGAAAGAATATTGTTGATAGAGCAGTACATTTTTTAATTTTTAAAAACCTTGACCCTAGCGTTCTCCCATCTTTTAAACACTATACAATGAAATGGGAATTGTGCATCAGGCCCTTGTGCTGAGTACTCAAGAGGGACAGCACACATGCGCCTGTCAGAGTTGGGAGATGAACTCGCTACTTTTTAAGGGAGCGCTACTTTTACTTGAAGCAGACAAACTGTGGTTATTCATATTTGGGCATAGAGCAAATGCGTTCTCATAAAGGAAGTGAGCTGTCCCCTTCAAGGAAAGCAAATGTCGTATTTGTTGACATAATTACATTTGAAAATTAAAATTTGGGGAAATTTGTATCCTCCACCATGAGCCTGACAGCTTTTAGTACTTAAAGACACTCTGGCAAGATCAAAGTGATACTACTGATTGCAATTTTTTTATATTGTGCTATAAAGCACACCAACATCTAGAAGATCAAGGATTTGGTGAATTAGTGCTCTCCAAATGATCAATGTAGGATCTTACCAAAAAAGGAGGAGTAAACTGTTTATTGCTGTATCCGATTCTCAGATTTAATTTCTAAACTGACAACTATGGTGTCTGTTGGCAGATATTGCCCCCTTGAACAAAGCTCTTTGTGGTCTTTAACAATTGCCAAGGGGGTAAAGAAGCCTGAGTCCTAGCCAGGCATCTCTTAGGGAAGATGGGCGCTAAACACAGGGCAGGTTCCCTGTGGGACTTTTGCACTCATGAGTCCTTTGCTCAGCAGGATCTCTCTCCATGCAGTATCCAGCTCCTGGGTTCTGAGAGGAGCCTGGGACTCAGGGCCCCTAAGAAGTACCACAGGGTGAATGTGAGGAAGACCTGCTGAGAGCAGTGGCTCCCACCTGGCCTTTGAAATCTCCGGGCAGGATTGGGACTAGGGGAGCTTTCTAAGCAAGGTTTAGGGTAGAGTCCAAGAATCTGCATCATTTTGGTTTGGTTGGATTGGTTGTTTTAAGCACCATGGTTGATTATGATGAAAACACCTTAAAAATGTACAGTACCTTTGGAGGATATCTGAGGGAATGACCCGGGTAAACATTCATCCATCCATTTGTTTGTATACAAGGTGCTGGGATCAAAGATATGACCTAGACAGTTTCTGCCTTCAATGAGTCCATATCTAAGAGGGGGACTCTCTCATTAGCAACCCATTCACAATGTAACTGCCTGAAACAGGCACAGAGTTCCCTGAAAGCACAGAGGACGGAGGAGTCCCATACCCACTTCGAAGTGGGTCATAAAGAAGCTCTAGGGAAGGAAACTTGACTGCAGAAACAGTGGAAGAAGGTGAAGAGTCAGCAAGGCTGGCACGAGAACGAGACACTTACTCTCCCTACCATCACTCAACATTCAGCACAGCAGCAGAGTACCACTGGCTTTTCAGGTGAGTCTGATGATACGAACAACTCATGCAAAACTTGAAATAATCCAGATCCTACTTTATACCTATTCATATGGTCCTAAATCCTGTGGGTTTGAAATTAGGAGAAATGTTCAGGAATGCGCCTTACATAACTCTGGTCTGCCTGGAGCCCCGCACCTGATGTGGGCCAGTACCTGCCTTCTGGGTTCCCAAGGGCGTACAGGCTCAGCCCTACTCAGAGGAGCCACTGGACAGGTTGACATCCCATCTCCTTCCTATTCTGGCAGCCTGTGGTCTGAGTCAGGAAGGTGGACAGGCAGAGGAGGACACCACTAGGAGCCCAGCGAACAGAGGCACATGTGAGTATCTATGCTTGAGCCAAGTGGGGAGAGGGACCTACAGGGGCCATTTCTAGAGGAGTGAGGAAGGGGCCAGACAGTGAGCACAAGAGTTGGAGTGGCTGACTGCTGAAAGTTTCCTTCTCTTCCCTTCCCTCTGTCTCTCTTCCTCTCTCCTCCCTTCTCTCCTTCCTTTCCCCTCCCGATGCACAGCAATACCACTGCTCCAATCCTCTGAGCACCACTTCTGGTCACTTAACCCAATGACTACTAAACATCCATCCCACTACATGTCAAGCACGCTCTATGTGTTTATAGGGCCGCATCAATGAAAAAAATAAACCAGAATTCCTCATAGGAAGAGATAGACCCTAAAAAGATAGATGTTATGATAATTTAAGAAGCCATTAGGCTGAGATGGCTCCAATGCCTGGGGCACCTACAGGTGCTAATGGAAACTCAAGTCAGAGTGTGTGTCCTGGCCAGGAAAAGGAAGCTTAAGCCTGACCAATCAGAAGCTTCCTGCTAACCTCTGACTTTTCATGTTGACCAATCAAACACATTCTTTGCCTTGCTCCAGAGACAAAGTTTTCACCATATGTCCCTCTGTCAAACACTGTCCCTGCACTGCTTGGGCTCTGGGCTGTCCCATTCGCCACTTGCTGTTTGCTGAAATAAATTCTTTAAAAGTTTAATGTGCCTAAGTTTATCTTTTAACATGGGCTATTTGTATAGTGTAATAGAAGGCAATAAGTACACTGGAGGAGAATGAGACTTAGGAGGGGCCATGAATGGGAGGGATGTGTGTGTGTGTGTGTGTGTGTGTGTGTGTGTGTGAGATGGTACACAAATTAGGTGAGGCTGCATTGAGAAGGTGACATTTGAGGGTTTCTTTTGGATTCCACTCAACTGTGTCCCATTTACACATGTGTGCTTGGACAGGGGACTATTTCACCAGCAACATTGCAAAGTCCTCCTCCAGGGTCAGAAATGGTCCTGGCTCCTCTATTGTCCATAGGGCCTACCACAGCCTTGAGCCCCTTCTGGATATTCAAAAAGACTTCTTGGAGAGGGAATGAAAAATAAATGAATAAGTAAACAAAAATGGGATGAATGAATCAGTAAGAAAAAGGCCTTGCATACTTCCAAAATGGCTATCCAGATTCAAGGCAAACCCAACTGAAATCCCAACAGTATACTTCACAGAACTAGAGAAAACAATAAAAAAAAAATTCATTTGGAACCAGAAGAGATCTAGAATACCAAAAGCAATTCTAGGCAACAAAGACATGACAGGGGTATCACAATTTGCAACTATACTACAAAGCCACTGTGATAAAAACGGCATGGTGCTGGCAAAGACACAGACCCAAGGGTCAGTGGAATAGAACAGAAACTGCAGGAACAACTCTAGACATACTCAGCTACCTCATCTTTGACAAAGAAGCCAATCATCCTCACTGGAGGAAAGACAGCCTCTTTCATAAACGATGTTGGAAAAACTGAATTTCAACCTGCTGAAGATCAAAACTAGACCCTTATCTTTCACCATGTACTGAACTAAAATCAAAGTGGATTAAAGATCTAAATATTAAAATAGAAACATTAAACTTGCTGGGAGATAAGTTTAGGTAGAACCCTCAAAGACATTGGCATAGGAAAAGACTTTATTTTATTTTATTTTTTGTACTGGGGATTGAACTCAGGACCTTGCACTTACAAGGCAGCCAGAGGCACCACTGAGCTAAATCCCCAGTCCCAGAAAAAGACTTTATGAACAAATCCTCCGTAGCATGGGAACTAGCACAAAGAATCAACAACTGGGATCTCATCTTATTGAAAAGCTTCTAGGGCCAGGGATTTAGCTCAGTGGTTCTGCTGCCTGCCTCATAAGCGCAAGGACCCGAGTTTGATCCCCAGTACCCCCCCCCAAAAAGGCCTCTGCACTGTAAGAGAAACCACCAACAGAGCTAAGACACACTTACAATGAGGGAAAAAATTTTTACCAGCTGTTCCTCAGACAAAGGTCTACTATCTAGAATATAAAAAGAACCCCCCAAAATTAGACCCCCTGAACATAAAGACCCAATTCAAAAATGGGCATCTGAAATGAACAGACATTTCTCAGACAAAGAAGTAAAGGTAGCAAATAAATATATGAAAAAATGTTCAACATCTCTGGTCATTTGAGAGATGCAGATGAAAACAGTGCTGAAATTCCACCTCATCCCAGAAAGAATGGCCAATAACAAATGGAAAGAAATCAACCAATAACAAATGCTGGAGGGGACATGGGGAGATAGGAACCCTTCTCCACTGTTGATGAGAGTACAGACTGGTGCAGCCACTATGGAAATCAATATGGAAATACCTCAAAAAGCTAGGATTAGAGGTCCCGTTTGACCCAGCCATCCCCCTGCTGAGTATCTTTCCCAAAAATTAAAAGAATCATACCACAGTGATATATGTGTACCCATGTTCATAGTGGCACAGTCTGTAATAGCTAAAACTTGGAAACAGCCCAATTGCCTATCAACTGGAGCCTGGATAAGAAGATGTGGGGTTTTTAAAAAAATATAAAATGGAGTACTACTCAGCCATAAAGAATGAGAAACTAGAGACATTTATAGCTAAGTGGATGCACATTGAGGCCGTACTCTTAAGTGAGGTCAATAGGACACATATGTGTAAATTCCAAATAATTTCTCTGGTGTGAAAAACTGAAAGTGTAAAAAAGGTTCTAATTGTATAACTGATAATGTGAAATAGGAAAAAGAAGGTCCAACAGGGAAGGGGAAGTGGGAAGGATTGGGGAAAGTAAAGAAGGGAATGGAATTAATAGGAGAAAAATGAAAAAATGGAAGGAAAGTCTTTGTAAATAGGGAGAGGTAGAGGAGTTGAAGGGAGGACAAGGGAATGGGGGGAAAATAAGAACCAAGATAGATTATGTAAAGGTACAAATTTCCAGCAGTGAATATCATTATATTGTATACCTGAAATGTACCAATAAACTTAATGAGAAAAAAGAAAAGAAAAGAAAAAGGCCTCGCTTCCTGCCATCTTGGCTTTGAGCATCTTGTCTGAATGTTGCATTCTGCTGGCCCAGCCGACCAGAGACACTCCCTTCCAGGCCAGCAAGGAAAGATTTGACTTGGGCAGAGGAGAGCCTCGTACAGGGCAGGGAGAAGTAGGACCAGGTGGGGAGGGGGAGTCAGGTAGAGTGAGGGAGAGGAGAAGGACGGTCCACGAAACCAGGTGGGGCGAAAACAAAAGATCAATAAGTGCAGCAGGGAAGTGACAGCAGCCAGCCGCGGAGAGCTCCTCCCTTGATTAGAATTCATGAACTCCCCTCTTACATTAAGTCTTTATATGACACCTGGCCTTTAATGCAAAGCTGGCTGAGAACATTAAAAATTAAAAGCCGAAGGTAGGCTACATCCATCTCTGATAGCGCGGCTCCCCTCCTATCTGAGGCCTGCACAAAGCTATTACACATTGATAAATTATTTTGGGTAATAGCCGAGATATTACATTGTTTCTGAGTGAAGGTAAAATCTCTCCCTGACACGGGCATTTATCAGGAATGCCTTTCATCCTATTTATTATGGGCCAGATGAGCAGGGGGCTGCAGCCCGGCTGGGGTGCTGGGCTGGGCCCCTTTCTCCCCCTACTCCCCTCTGTCTGACACTCTCTTGATGGGGCATTGATGGGGCTTGTGACAAGTTAATTATTAACTAAAGATATGCAATTCACGTCAAAGGGGCAGGGCTCCTGGCGAAGGAGAGAGTCTGCTTGTTGAGTGATCAGATCCACTGAGGGCCTGTGGCGTAACAGCCGTGGCCCTGGACCCCATGCTGCCCTACTTGGTAAAGATGACCCTGACCTCTCTATCCTGCTCACTACTACTTGGGAGTAATTCTGCACGGCTGGATCCCAGTTCCATCTCACCACACCCCTATGCCCTCTCCACCCTCTGCCGGAGGCAACCATCAGAATTGCCAGGTATTTGTTCTGCAAAGGATTTGGAGGACTGCCAATATTGTCTGGGACCCTCTGGGGTCACCCACGCATAATCCTTCCTGGAAGAATCATTTCTTCCTGAATGTTTCCCAAGTGCCGGCTGTTTCAAGCACAGTGCTAATTGCTGAGCACACAACAATGAGCACCACAGATTTAGTTTCTGTTCTCCAGTTATGCATCTGATAGAACCAACCTACGGTCTCCAAAGGAGAGAAGCAGTGCTCTGGGTGATTTTGTTCCCTGAGGTCGGGTAGTTCACTGGCCTTCCAGCCCTGGGGGGGAGTCAGCCCCGTCTCCCATCCAGTGTGTGTTCACAGTGGAGCCCAGCTGATATTTCTGGAGTGGAAAGAGGATGATCAAAGTGGGGATGTTAAGTCCTGGTGGACAAGTGTAAGTGGCTGAATCCACACGTCTGGGGCCTGCTTTCAAGGAAACAAAGGCTGCTGGCTCAGCTCAGGGCACACGTCCACGCCCATGCCCAGGCCCCAGTGAGGAGAGGCGACAACTGAGAAAAAAGAGTTGTCCATCATCTCTGGTTGTGAGCTAGGCAGTGGAGTCCTCATTGCCACCAGCAGAGCCAAAGTGATCGTCTTCTTTCTGGCACTTCTGTCTAATGACCGGATGTCCTCAGAGCCTGCCAGGCAGCAGAAGGGGATGGTCACTGCAGGCACACACTCTCTCTGGGCTCAGTTTCCTACTCTGCCTAGGGGAACGCCTAAGCTGCAGGTAGGTGCTAAGGAAGCCCAGGAGGGTAGGCGCCAGGCTTCCCCACACTGGCTGGCCTCCCTCCGGTCTCCATCCCTCTAGCCAGGCCTTTTAAACTTGGTTGTGACTAGCTCATTACCTCTCCCTTTTGGCTTCAGCCCTGGCTGCTGTCCTTCCAGTCTCTTGATTTCATTCTCTGCCAGCCAGGACCGGCCCAGCCCTACCCTGGCCCTGACCATGCTTCCCAAAAGTCATCTGGGCCGGGAGGATGAATGGACTCTGGCAGCTCTGTGAGGGCTGCCCCTACTGGCTGTGCTGCAGATCGAGTAGCTCAGCGCCTTCTTGAGGCTTTTCTTATTAAGGGAGGCACAAGTCTAAAATGGTGATTGTCTTTGCTTCTTCCCCATGAGGCTGTTGACCAGCCTGCCAGCTGAACCAAGAGCCACGGCTATGAACTGGGGGGCAGGGGGTTTCTTACTCAGCGCATTTGAGGAGGCAGAGAATAGTAGAGACCCTGTTCTAAAAGGCTGATAGTGTAAATCAAAGTAAAAGGCCAACCAGGAAAAGCTGTCTGGAATGAACTCAATGATAGTGACAAATAATAATAATGATAGCAACAGTAAACCCTGAGTGACCACTAT